CAACGAAAACAACCCAACTTTGAGGTTAGCTCGTTCTTCTCCGAGGCAAACGATTATCCGCGCGTCACGTTCGAACGTTTCGGCTCAACCGGAGGATCGCGACATCGTAACAGGAACACTTTCTCCTAGATTACTTTCTTAGACGTCCACTTTTCGTTACTCGTCGAAGAATACGCGTTCGAATTGCTCGAAATCTCGAGAGTACAGCGGCGTCTCTGCTCCGTCGATCGAGATTCCGTGGCGCGATCTATCGAGCGACGCGCGACTCACCGTTCGCATCAAAGAGGTCGCCCCTAACCTACGCTCGACCAGTCTCGATAATCGAATCGAATTCGAATGCCATCGTCGATTTCGTTTTAAAAGCGAAAACCGAGAAATCCGTTATCGGTTCGGAAAAAGGTATTCGATCGAAGTCGCGTCGAGCTCGAAAACGCTATACGAAAAAGATCGTTTTCGCGTTTCGAACGCCTCGCACGCCTCGCAGGCGAGTTCGATTGCTCGGATCGCGCGGATACGGAAACGGCCGAAGAAATTCTTTGGCGAAAGGACGCGCGGAGCGTTGACCCAGGGTCGTTTCCGCGCGCTTCTTAGTCCCGTGCTCCGAGTTTATCGCAGGAAGGAAGAACGATAAGTTTTCGCAAATAGCTCTCGTACGTAGGTAGAAACCGTAGATAGGCGAGAGCGCACCGGGATCGATTTCTAGGGGTTTTCGAAGGCGAATCAGCTCGGCCGATGCATGATCGTGCAGCGAACTACGGGCGGCTCGTATCTTTCGCGCGCGAACGCTAAAAACTCGAGCGACGGACGAAGCGTAGTTGGTAGACTACGCAAAACAAGCGGGTGAAAAGGGCATCTGGCAGTCACAACATACCAAACGATTCCGATAAAATCGAATCGTCGGGGTCGCGATGGGGATCGTTAGACAGCCACGCTCTCTTTTTCGCGCGTTTCTCTGTCGGTTAGCGAAATCGGGGAATTTGCCGGGTCGAGAAACGCGACAACGAAAGCGACGGTAAAGCAGAGTTATCGATCGTCCGAGACTTTTTTTTCCGTCTAGGGGCGATAAGCGGCTCTCCGACACGGTTACGAATCTTCTCCCCTCCAGCGGCGGAGGGTCTCGTTCGGCGATCGCCGCGTTACGCGCACCTCGCGATCGACCGTCAATTCCGTCCGCTCGAGGACGCGATCCAATTGGTCGATTTTCGGTGTCGCGGAGACGAGAAAAGTCGAGGAAAAATCGGATAAGATACGATAAGATGGTGAGCACGGCACGGGGTAGGAACGAAGCGGGAACAGGCAAGCGGAAAGGATGGAAGGGAGAAAAAGAAGGAGGAGAAAGATGGTCGGGGCACGGAGACGAGAGACGATTCGTCTCGAAGAAAACGTCGCGTTCTCGGCGCGAT